TGAATCTAGCACGTATTTTTTACTGGAGATAATACTGAGCATGAAATAACCCTTGTGGCAGAAATACTGCAGACAATTACAGTTTTGCTGTAATTAATACACTTTTGCCTATTTGTGTTCTTGTTGGATACTGATCATTGTGAAATAAATCTACATAAATAAATATACAGTAGCTCAAATGTCCCACCGTATAACAATTAGTGACACACAAACATCATCTTGGGCTTGCATTCTTTCTGTGAGTGGACTTCTCTCACCTTCAATCCGATCTGTGACTTGACCTGGACAGACCCTTCACTAGTTTCATCTTGCAACAGAACTAGTAGCAATAGTGGAATGTGTTCAATGTAAAGCTCCACATTCTTTGATTACAGTAAGCCTTAAGAGACATTCACTGACAGACTGTCAGTGAATGTCTCTATATCTATAATCTATATTTATATAGCGCATTACACAGACCAAAGTCACACACAGCGCTTTACAGAAGGCAAACCTTTGCAAAACTTTTAGAATCATAAAAATAGCAGCACATGCTTAAACTAATAGCACGCAAACACGTTCATGTTTCAATAGACAGTGTTGGTGTTTAAAAATGTCGGTACTGAAAGCCTCGGAAAATATATAATTATGAGCCAGAGATCTAAGTTAAGTCACACTGTGTTGTCCTCTGAAACTTGTCCTCTGCAAGTTTCTCCATGGCCTCACATCGAAGTACTTCTTCTGTTCGTGCTATATGAACCAACTCGGACTCTGAGGAGCACAGGGACTGGCCTCCTTTAAAAATGACATCTCTAACTTTAGCATAGCATACTGTATATTCTAGTGCACTGCAAAAAGATATCAAAAATAATGCTCAAATTTGGCAAAATGTATCTTAACTTGATCAAATTTTGACTGTCTTAAAACTGAAATTGCCAATGGAACAAGCAAAATAATATTGTTTTGAAAAGATAAAAGAAATGTCTCCCTTAGAATTAGAACATAAAGAACAGTTCTGGAAATAAGTCTAAATGGTATGTCCCATTCTTGTTTTAATCCAGTCAGAATATACTCAAATTAAGATAAAAATCACTTAATCAAGCAATTATTACCTCATATTTTGCAGTGTGCAAGAAGCATATAGTTTGTGAGTTTCTGTTACTTGCAATACAAATAATTTGGATTTTGATAAAGCTTGAACCACATTTTATTCAAATAATAATTATTTTCCCTGCAACTGTAACCATAGCCTTTCCTTGTTCTCCGCTATAAAAAAATGCCTACACTTTGCTTAAGCCGAATCTGCTCGGCCCGTGTCTGCTGGTGTGAACCAATTAAGGTCTTTATGCAGCGCTGGAGCACCAAATGTGGAGCCCAATCTCTCTTAATTCCGGTTAAATACAAGTCCCAGAGCTGAAATACACCTCCACACACGCTGTCATGGTGCAAGCACGATTAAGTGACGATACTGCGGCCCACTGCTCCGACCCATTCAGAGCACTGACAGAGAAATCTAATGGGCATAAGAACTAATGCCAGGGCAAAAGCAGATTACAGGCTGCAGAAGAGAGAGCGGCAATCCTTCTGTCTGAAATCCTATTCGGAAAAACAGTATTCAAATTATTAAAAAAAAAATAAGAAAAAAACCTTGGCAATGTGTTTCTCCCCCAAATAAAAAACAAAATATCAAATGTGTCAGAAGAAAACAAGACTAAACAGACAGACAAAGAGACAGCATCCAGAAATGCATCAAAAAGAGCAATGTGCCATGTGTCCAAAGGCATTATCTGTCTCTCATTATATCTTTGTGAGCTTGTTTCTTTGATCGCATTGATGCCCTGTCTTCACTGAACCTGAACAATAACGTTGAGAAAATGCTGCTACGGACAGACAGAGAAATAGTAAAACAAAATGAAATAAAAAACTGATGCAGACAATGATTCGTTATCTGTTATATGTAGAATATAATGGATTTGATTGTTCTCACAAATTCAACATGCGTGACCGATTGAGAAAGTTAGTATAGAGATGGCAATTGATCGATTCAATTAAATGTATAGCCCTATAGGGGTGTAGCCCTAAATAAAAACAACAGTCGGCTCAGAAGGACTTTCCAAAGCCGAAATAAACTGAACACAGAAAATGCAATAATAACAAACACATAGGAGCCATTGGTCCATATAGAACAGGACAACCAATGTCCATAAATTTCCTTAAAGTCCCTCCTCCATCGGCAAGGAATGTCTAAAAAAACACATACGTCCTTAATAAACGTAAATGGATGGATGTATATTTCTCCATTGTGAGATAAATAAAGTTTCTTATTTTATGGATTATTTGGGGGGGCACTGAAAATAGCCACCCCTGCTTTACATACATTGTGATGATAATTATGAATATGATAAAAAGTAGTAATATAGCAGATTGCAATAACATCGTAAGACAAAAATATAAAAGTTCAAGTTTAGTAAGTAGCGCGAGACTCACATCCTCTCAATCAAAGCTGTTTTTAGCATGCTGCCAATCTACACTTGTTACACTATATCGACACTTTCTTAACAATTTCGGCGTGAACAGATGTGTCTAGAGTGATAATGCTTACCAAACTTCTTTGATTTAGCAAAAAGCATTCAGCTGGTTTGAAAGTGCAGTCTTTTGTTGTGTGACGTGAGAATCAGTGACTCAAAGACTAATTTTAGCCACTTAGCAACTCTCACCTTTACGTGCGACAGTGCGATGTGACTGCTCTATTCCCCGAGACCCACACAAACACCTCCCGCATTAACACTTTCATGTAACTGGAAATATAATGCGAGAGCAGCCTTTTAGCTGCGTTCAAACACCAGCAGTAGTCGTAGAATACGGGTGTCAGACTAATTTTGGTCAGGGGCCAAAATCAAGAAGTAAATAAAACATTTTCTTAGTGGTAATGTTGTTTGAAACTAATCTTTGATTAGATTTTTTGATATACATATTATGAAGGTATTTTTACAAAACGATGATTGTTATTTATGGTATTGCATATTGAACCATAATGGAAATTGGATGCAAAGAAGGCTTGTAATGATAAACGATAAATAAATAAATTCCAGGGGCCACTAAAGCGGGTCTTGTGTTTGGCACCTGTTTAGCAGAAGTGAGAGGGTTTAAGTTAAGTTGTAATGTATTTTCCTCATAGGGCCCGGAGACCCATCTTCAGATGTTGATGCCCTTGGTCAAGAGGATATTGCCTATTGTACATGTTTTTAGGGGTAGGGGAAACCAGAGCACCCAGAGTTTTTAGGGGTAGGGGAAACCAGAGCACCCAGAGTAAACCTACTCAGACATGGGGAGAACATGCAAACTCCTCTCAGAAAGGCCCTGCTCCAACCTGGATTCGAAACCCAGGACCTCCTTGCTGAGAAAAGAGAGCACTATCCACTCAGCCACTGTGTCGCCAGTAGAGACTTAAAGGATTACACTGACATTTCCCCACTGTGGATCTCTTCATCTTAATCAATTTGGACAAACTGGCTCAGTTGGTGGAGCACTTATCTTTGAGCCTGAGTGTTGTTGGTTCAAGAACACCTGCGACCTTCTCCGCAGATTCCCACTGATGCCTACTGTCGTTGTATCCTTGGGCAAGACACTTAACCACACTTTTTCTGAAGGCTATGCTCACACAGACGGAGCAGCCATCCTCCTGTGAGGGGCTCTGTGGATTGGGTGCAGCTCTGACTGCCACCGTGCGACCCAGAAATGGATTAGGGGAAGAAGATTGACGGATGTTAGCCAGTTCTGCCCGCCCCTTTACCTTGACCACTCAACCATTATGTATTGACACGGATCTTAAATAAATATAATAAATATAAAATAAATATACTGTAACTTCCGGAGTTATCTTCTCTGACAAGATCCGGATCCGTTCATTCATTCCAAGAGGAAATCACATTGTTTGATTGACGCATTACTTTCTATAACATAAGAGGAAATGAGTTATAATATTTAGGGTTTTTCAACATCCTTTGACTGAGAGAAAAATTGGCAATGCAAAAAAGAAGATAACTTGAAATCGTGGAAAAAAGAAGACCCTAACCCTAACCACAAGAAGATAATCCAAAAAGTGCTAGCTACTATTAATCCGCTACTCACAGAAGTTGTTACTTACAGAATACTGTTAGATGTAGAAAAGTTGAGCCAAATTTTGGATTTTCATTTAGAATGCGTCCCTTATAAATGTTGTTTCCACGCATCTCCATGAGCTGCTGTTTGTCTGTGATGTTGAATATAGACTATCGACATGATTTTTTATTCGTCCTGCTATCAATGGTCCCTTCTGGGATATTTACAGAAATGTTCATTAATATGCACTGTCCCTGTAATAAATAAACATATAAATAAACAATGTGAGTTACATCACAGTTGATAGAAGATAAGATGAAACTATTTGATCTCACAAAGGAGAAATGTTACATCTGGCTTCACTAATAGACAGGAAATGTGCAAACTATAGGAAATGCGCAAATATGTTAAAATGTAAAATTCTGCTTGACGGTCTAACTAAAAGGTCAGTGGTAATGATCCAGGACACTCAACTCCTCATTCAACAACATTTATGGACATTGGTCATCTGCCCCTTATGGCCTAATGGCTCTTTGTTTTTTTTATCGTTGGAATGAACTGTTGATTCTCTGATCTGTGTTGGCAAAGTCAGCGGTTTTGTTTAGTCCTCAGAGGTAAATTCTGTTATGATTTAGGGCTATACAAGAATACATTGAATTGAATTGAAATAATTTTAAATTGTTTAAAATTTAAAAGTGACATGCCTTGCATATACAGTATGGGGTCTTTCTCTCTGACAACACAACACCATGCAGCAGAAGGCCCCTGCGAGGGCCCGAGCTTCTCTCCCTCTCTCTCCATAAAGAGGTTGTTAAATGTTCTCTTTTATATCCATTTGTTTTATTCCTAATATATATAAAGAAACACTGTCCTATTGAACTTATTTATAACTGGAGATGCAGCCCGTTTAATGGACTCACCAAAATACTCTTCAGACGGAGGATGATCCATGTCGTACAGCATCTTCTTGGTGAGGCGTTCCAGCTCGTCTTCCGGGTGGGACACGGGAACGCCACCCTGTCAAACACCAAAAGCCGCTTGTTAAATTAGCCTTCATCTCTTTCATGCTGTATCTAAGACATCACCTTAACCCTCAACTTAAATAAATCAGGATAAATCGCTGTCTCAAGGTCAAACACATGGACCAGAGTGTAATTAAAATGCGGAGGACGGTCCCGGATCGGCTTTTCCCTTCTGAGACAGCTGACCCTGGTTTAAACCTTCCAGAGAAGGTTGCCGACGTCCTCCTGTGCAACGCAAGTAAGAGTGAACCCTGACTAATCCTTATATTTACCACAAAAAAGTAGAAGAAAGCGTACTGCCCTGATTTCTACAGCTTGGAAGCTTTCGAGATAAGGTCAAAAAGCAGTATACAGGTTTCAATGCAGGAATGTCTGAGAGCTTAATCTTACAGAGATGTGAGAAGTCTTTGGTTTTCGCCGGTTCTCTTCTTATTCTAATGCAGGAGGTGACATAGACCTGCTGTGCATTGGCTTGACATTTGGTGCCTCACTCAGAGAATAAAATATCGCCAATCCTTTTTTAAGAGGTGCGTGTCCTCAGCAGACGCCGCAGAGACCTGAACCGGAGTCAGTGACACGGCTTTGACCTTCCCTCGATCTAAAACAGCCAGGATCTTTACTTTGCATTTGATTTTCAATACGGCGACAGGCCCAGATCAGAGATGACCTTTGAGCCAGTCCTAATTGTGGCATCAGGGAGCAGGTTTTGTACCCGTTTCTCTGTGGTTTTGACGGCGCATCATAAAGGATTCAGATTTGTCAATAGCAGACGGATTAAAGATGGTTTTATATTCAGAATGAGGCGGTAATTACAGAGCAGGTCTCGTCGCTTAATCTGGGAATATTGATGATGACAATATTTGTTTGAAAACTAATTGACTTGCTGTGTTCAAACTGCTTTAATGACATAATGCACAACAATCAGTAAAATGGTGGAGATAGACAATAGATTATGTGGGTAAACTGAGTGTCTACTGTGTCTCTCCTTCGCACTCAAAACATGAATGTGTTTGTTTCTGTGTAGATTTTTCTGGTAATCATTGTTTTTAAATCTTGGACATGTTTGAAATTAATAAATACATGAAAATAAAAAATAGGGTAGTAATAAGGAGCGTCAGTATGTGATGTAAAAGTTAGTTACAATTTTGTTTTGTTACTACTCTCTTCTCTTGACCGCGTCCATATAATCCTTGTTTATGAAGATTTTAGATACTTTGAGACATTTTGTACGCTGCAGAATGGCTTCTCGGTCACTACTGCATTACCTGTTATAACATATGATTGGTGTATTTGTGGATTAATATGATGGACATGTTCTGTAAAACCCTTAAAAACTAAATAAACTTAAAGAAAGAAAATAGAAGAGTATAGAAATATGAAATAATTATGAATATTATTTATTTTGCTCATGAATATACAACAAAACACCAGTTATTTCCGGTCCCTATCTTACAATCATGTGGTTTTTATGAATGGACACTGGAAGAGGAACATTATATATACACTTTGAAAACCGTAGAATAAAGGAACCTATAAAAGACTTTCTACAGTGGGCTCATTATGCCAGTTTGAGACATTTAAGAAGACAATTTAGCACTGTTAATCTTAGCTTCACACCAAAAGCACGAGAGAGGAACAGATATGTTGCCATTACAACTTTTAAGTACATTCGTCTTATAATTTATAGCTTATCCGCTCTCTGACACCCTGCAGCCATGTACTGCCACAAAGTTTAAAGCACCTTGTTAGGAAGTCTTTTGTGACAGCACAGAATAATTTTTCACTTGAATAAGAGAAAGAAATTGCTTCCCCACATGCTTTCTGATTGCTTCACAGCTACCGCTCAGCCTTTCAGAGACAACAATAGGAGCTATAGAGCGGCTATATGGCACAGACATGATTATCTAAGACGTTTGACACAATTCTGAAGATTGTTTAGCTGTGCCCTTGGGGATCTTGGTGTTTGGACTTTTTTTATACAGTTTCTGGCCTTTTGAGATTATCTGCCTCATGCTGCTCAGTATAACAATAATGAATGTATTTTAGTGAACGCCCACTTTTAACATATGGTAAAAGTATTATCTGTGAGCATGAGTGTAAAAGATTAATGTAAGATCATATCCATAATGCTATTTTAGCTAGTTGCAATAATCAAATGAATAATAATAATAAATTAAAAATAGACAATTTTATTTGGCATTTGCAGTAAAACCACATTGGAAAAACTGTTCAAGACTACCCTAGTGTGCCCAGGACAGTAAACACCAGAACTCTTGCCACTTAACTTACACTTAAACAAATTAGAATACATGTTTTTAAGATAGTGTACCTAATATGTTTAATAAAAAAAACCTGTGATGGAAGAGTACAATGTTACCACAACATGCAGTCTTCCTCTTGGTATAAAGAAAACATGTTATGTGACACTTTGGGTTGAGAACTAATCTAAGAATGTGACAAAGCCCAAATAACAAGTGATGGAACCAAATTGTTTGAAGAGCGAAGAAGTAGTTATTGATTTATACACTTACATATTTTAAATAGCTTGAAACGTAGGTACCCCAGCTTTAAGCAAATGTAAGCGTTAAATAATAGCTCAAAATTTATATGTGCCATCCATGTGTCCACTGTCACTTTGTCCCAGACCCACATGCTGTACAGATGTAAACATACAACTACATATTTCTTGCACTAGAATATACAATGTACTGTATTTTATTTACGCTTATGTCTTTATTATGCTAATTTCAGAGATTTCATCATAAATTCTTTCTTTTTTATTATGTTAAAGTTAGAGTTTATTTTATTTTATTTTAGTATAGTTATTGTTCATTTATCTTGTGTTCATTCCTACTGTTCTGTACATTTCCCCACTGTGGGACGAATCTCTTCATCTTAATCTCAATCTTGGAAGGATGTGTAGGAGGACCACAATGTAATGATAGAACAACACTGTTTTGAGAGCAAAGAATAAAATATGGATGGATATTTTTTTTTACATAGTAATATTACTAGACTAGTACATTGAAAGTTAGGTACCCCAGCTGTTGTTAAAATGTTAAATAATAACTCAAAATTATTAAGGGCCATGCATAGGCATTGAGCAGCATCTGTGATTCATTGTCCAGCCTGAAAATCACACATACAAAAGGTGCATGTGCCAGAACGATAAAAATCAAGAGAAAATTCACAAAAGGGAGTGAAGTTAGTGTTAGCAGAAGCAAAGGTGAGCGGACAGAGCTGAACTGAGAGCCGCTGCCTGCCACATCCACGGCGTGTTCCCCGTCCGCTGTGTGTGGATTGGCACCGTGTCGGCCCCAGTTTAGGTCTGGGACTCCCTGGGTGCCGCTCTGATCTCACCCCTGGCCCTGACATGTTTGTACGAGCTGAACTGCGGAGACAGCGGCTCCCTGAGCGTCACTTCCACCACTCAGAGCAGGTAAAGCCCTTGATTTTTTGGCTGCAACAAGACTGTTCTGTGGATGCGCTCCAGGTGACACCACAACAACAGAGTTGGGAGTATGCTGTCAAATCACGTTCCGGAGAGCGCAAGGAGAAAGAAAAAAACAACACGATACATTACAGAGGTGGCGGATATGATGCCAATGACTGGAGATATCACTAAAGGATTAGTAAGTAAGAAAGTTTAAAAGATAAAGAAAGATCTTTATTTATATAGCACCTTTCACAAGCGTAACGTGGAAAGGTGGTAAGTGCTTTATGTAAACAATAATTGTAGGAAAAGAAAACACATTTGACCCAAAACCAAAATCAGTTTGACACCCGTATTAGAGTAAACATATGGCTAGACTCATTTTGAAGCTAATGCCCTGTAGTTTTGGCCTCTGATAACTAATTTACTCAAATTCTAAGTGGTAGCAATACTCATTCTCTAATTAAATTTTCACAGCTGAGGCAAATTTCACTAACGAAACAGAAAATGGAGAGTTTACTCCAACACACTATCACAGCTAGGCTAAAGCTAGCGCACATACCTCAATTGTTTCGAGTAAAAGATGCCCTCACATTTAAGACAAAAACATGCTCAAAAGGATCAGATAATCACCTACAGGTGTGATTTCTGCTGTATTATCACTGGTGAAAAGTGGCAAAGAGTCAAAGATACACGCTTTATTGATGCAACAGGAAATATACTTTTTCTAAATGGACTTTTCAAACAGGATTAACTGAATGACAATGTTTGAGAAAGGTATTTGGTTTAGTAAGCTCCTCCAAACAGATGGAAACATGAACTGGAAATGACTTTTAGGAAATTACAGTTGTGCACAGAATGAATTGGAAAAAGACCTTAAAATGTTGCATGTAACAGGAAGCTGAACCCCACAGTGCAGCCGCTGAGAGACGGAGGACCAGCTGGAGGACGAAGCTGTTCTACATTTCTATATTCAAGACCAGTATCTACGTGCACCTACATGGCCTACTGTAAAATAAGTGCCTCTATGGACATACATACTGTACCTACATATGTAATCTAAAAAACCTGCGTTGTATTGGTTCCAAAAAAATTGTATTGGTCATTATTGGTCATAATTGTACACAATATTTCTTATGAACAACTTTAGCACAACAACAGATACGTCACATGTCTCTGAGTAACTCACAGATGGAGAGAGGTGATGCAAAAACTAAATGACCTGAATTGATGTAATTTCATTTATCATTTTAAATGTGACCTGATGTTCTCCAGGTGGCAGCAGTCTTCATAGATATAAATCAAGAGTCTCTGAGCCCAATAAAGAGCATAATACAGTCTGTGCAACATGAGCACGAATGATTCTGATTGGTGCTCACGCCGTGTGCATGCTCAGGTGCTGTAACAGGTTTTGTTTGCTGTGAGTTGCTTAGCAACTACGGTCTGCAGGAGATGTTTAGGACACAATAATATATAATGTTATAACAAAAGCCACAGAGGCATTCATATAAGAAGACCTTGCATTATGCATGTAGCGTTTTTACCACTGGTCAAGTAAAATA